CAAACATTGACAAATTCTTGTACATTTTAAGATAATTCCTGAGAAGCAAATGGTCGGGCTTTAAGCCGGATTTGTTTAGCAAAATGGAGTAATGAAAGCATAAAGAAAAAATGTCACGAACACAGCGATTTCTTCCAACCCATTTTCTGTGTTTTTACACTTATTGTATATGATTACATTAATGCCAAAACAGACCACACTATTACAGTCATGTCTACCGAATCGGAACTGACGTATCTTAATTTTCTAATAAATTATCGTGTAAACTTCATTTATGTCATCCAACATAAAAATTCTGCTGTATTCGACAGCAAATTGAATTTTTGTTTTAATTGCTTCTTCTACAGAAGAGGTCCAGATTCGTTTTTTTTTTTGTACTCTTAACCAGAAGACATTCTGGAGATGTACAGAAGAGACCAATAAAACACGCCCCAGCAGTTGAGGTCCTGACGTCAACTCAGACATTACCTCAACACTCTCTGTTTCTCTCACAGGAGTCAAAGGACTTAAATCCTTTTGAAGAGGCTCTTTGTTTCCCCTCTGTATCTCTGATTCATCAAAATGTAGATGAAAATTAAAATCTGCTGACTCAGCTTCATCATCTTCACTTCTTATGTCTAAAACTGACAAATGAAAATCTGCCGACTCAGCATTTACATTACTCATCTCTAAGGCTGACACTTGGCCGACAGTCCCAGCCTCTACGTTAATTTGTAAGACCACGTCAATCAATACACGCTAAAAAAAAGTACGTGTGTACACAAATGTGAAAGAAACCAAAATGGCCTTCTAGTTGACGAATAGGATTTTGGGTAATTCTAACCTTATAAAAGGATAAATATGGATTAAATAGAATGCATTGATAACATCTGAATAAGGTAATTACATTGTAACTATGAAAGATCATTCCGCATAACAAGCAAGTGTTCAAAAGTGAAAATAAGTATGACCTAGTTTCGTGGAAAATATACGCCAGGAAATACGAATGAAATGAATGACTGAAGGCTGTTACTAAAAGTATACTGTAAAAAATCGTGGCACAAAAGTAGTTTATTTACTTCGCGCATAGAAAAACATAGAGTGTCACCTTTAAAATCTAAGAAATACATGTTATAAAACATGGCAATACTTAATTATTGATAACTGAGCTGATGACACCCTCGGTATACTTAGTCAATGAAGCGCCTTCAAACAAAAAAATAGGTGCATTCATTAAAAAAGGTCTTCGTTCATAAAAAAAAAAAAACGAATAGTCATATCTGAGACTTACATTAAAAATATCAAGAAATCCAGTTGGAGTTATGTTGCATCTCTAGAACTTTTAAACATCGATTCATCTATATATGTGAAAGCTAATTTTAGCCGGATATTACTTAATTAAGCAACACATAGGATGCCACAGGTAGAGCCAACATTTGCTTACCTTTCCGGACCAAGTTGTGTTTTAAAGGGTGTCGCTCTTGTTTCAGTTTTAAGTGATGTTCTTTTTTCTACGAGTCACAGTGTTAAACTGTTTTGAAAGTCCAACTTTGTAAAATTAAAAACAAGATTTGTTTAGATGAATAAAAGCAGCTTTATTAAAATCTAATATCATTAATTACAGCTATTTATTTATAGAAATAAGTTGCTATGTATGTTAAAAAACTTGAAGTGTGTGCAAAATACCTCAAAAGCAAATACTGCTAAACTGTCAAAATCAGCTGTTTACTCCAGGCTCTACTTTGAAATTGACTATATTTTCTGAAAACGTACGTGTGTACACAAATGTGAAAGTAAACCAATATGGCCTTCTAGTTGATGAGTATGATTTTGGATAATTCTAACCTTATAAAAGGATAAATATATGGATTACTAGTAAATAGGATGCATTTATAACATCTGAATAGGGTAATTATATTGTAACTATGAAAGATCATTCTGCATAACAAGCAAGTGTTCAAACGTGAAAATAAGGGAGCTACCATTTGATTTTTAGAGAAGGGGGGGGGGGGGGGGGGGGGGGGCTAGGATGAAAAATTTTGTCCTGTTTTTTTTTTAGTCGTAATCTCTGTCCTGCCTTTTTATTTTTCACTCTATTCGGTCCTGCCTTTTTTTTACTAGTTTATCCTGACTTTCTTTACGTAAATTGTCATCCTGTCTTTTTTTTGCCAAGTTGCTCATCCTGCCTTTTTTTACTCAGAACTGCTGTCCTGCCTATTTTTTAAAAATTTCATCCTAGCCTTTTTTGATAGGCTTTGTATATAGTATTGTAAATACCTTTTTATGTTACACCTCAGCACTATTGTGCCGATGGCCACAAATAAAAAATTTTTTGATTCCTTACTGGTGAAAGTGTGACGGAAGAAGTAGGTATTTCACAGAATCTCACGCGTTCTAGCGTGTGTGCACTTTATCAATAGTATGCTCCTGACCAAATCGGATGTCGGTAGTTTCTGAGAAAACTGTCGCAAATATATTAGCTGGACAAACGTACGGACGGACAAGATGATTGCAATAAAATCCTACTTTAAGAGTGGGGAATAATTTAAGCAACTTTGGTCCAATAAAAATGAAAAAAAAAAAAAAAAACAGATGATGCCGAATGTTTTTTTAATACAAAAGGAGATGCGGGAATATATTATAACTTGTCGTGGAAATGAATAGTAAAAATCTTTTGGACGTCTTGGAATTGAGGAACATTTTATTTTGGAACTCATGGTTCAGGTTTTATGTCGAAATAACGATATTGACTTCATTACTGACGAAAATCTCGTTTCAGAAGTTTTTATAATATATATGCCTAAGAACGTCACCCAGAAAGGTTGAGGGAATTTTATTATAAAGGCAAAGAATAATGAAGAAAAACATCACAGAAATTCCTTACATTCCCATGATTATGAGCGGCACACTTTTGTGAAACGTTTCTGCTTATTTAATTCCTAGAACATATATAATAATAATAATAACGATATGTCTGCTTTTGTTTTTGTGTCTTTTCCTTTTTTCATGTAGAAATAAAGTTCATCTCAGTTTCTTAAGCGAATCAAATTTAGTTCATGATTATAATTGATAAGATTAACAAATAACATTTTAAAAGATACTTTTAAATGGTAAATTCATTGATTTTTGATAATTTATTCATCGTCCAACAGAAATTTGAGATGAAAAGTTATCTACAAAGCTATAAATCAATAGTATTTGTGCGTAAACATAAATGGTATTCAAAGGTGTTTCGTGTATACTCAGGAAGGGTATACAAATTGACAAATTAGTCTAGGATATACATGTGATACTTGACTTTGGATAGTAAGTAGCTATTAACCAAATTTTTATAAGTTTATAATGGAAAGTTATGATTAAGTATTTTCGTCATTAGAGCTGTGTTACCCTTTCCAGTATAAAAAAAAGAAACTCACTTAAGACAGCAGGTTTTTAATTTGGTACGTCAGACGCGCGTTTCGTCTACTAAAGACTCATCTGTGGCGCTCGATTCAAAGCAGCAGAAAGGACAAATCAAATACGAAATTTAAGAGCATTATAAAAAACCGAACATTCTGAAAAGTTGTGTCAAATGCGGCTAATGAATCAATGCCTTGAGGTAGTAAATCTTTGATGTTTCGAATAATTATAATTTAACATTTTATAAATAGTCATTTTACAGAAAATGAACATACCAATGATAGTCAAAAAGTGCTGGCTTCTAATAACACAGTATGCGTTATACCTGTATTACTTGAGAAGCATTTCCAGAAAATATTTTGGTATATATGGTCACGCATTAGTACAGCATGTAGGAGTGAGACAGACTTTTTACATGAGAAATTCTATTTACTGTTAAAATGTGCAGGGTTTGTTTTTATACGCCCGTTTACGGGACGTATTATGGATTACCGTTGTCCGTCCGTCCGTCCGTCTGTCCATCTGTCCGTCCGTCGTCAACATGTCGGACATAATCTCAAAAACGCTTTAAATAATATGCATGAAACTTTGATGAATTGTTTATATCTATTGACGTGAGCTCCCTTTCGTTTTTTATAAATTTCAGATTTACCGTTTCTGAGTTTTGGGGTTTTATTCATTAAAAAAGGGGGGATTTTCCAGTTTTCCGACAATAACTCAAGAATGCTTTCACCAACTTGCAAGAAATTTGGTGAATTGTTTATATCTTTTGACATGAGCTCCCTTTCGATTTTTATAAATTTTAGATTTTACGTTTATGAGTTACAGGGTTTTATTCATAAAATAGGGGGATTTTCCAGTTTTCGGACAATAACTAAAAAATGCTTTCAGCAGTTCTCATGAAACTTTGGTGAAATGTTTATATCTGTTGATGTAAGCTCCCTTTGGAATTTTATAAATTTTAGAATTTACATTTCTGAGTTATGGGGTTTTATTCATTAAAAAAAGGGGGATTTTCCAGTTTTTGGACAATAACTCAAAAATGCTTTAAGCAGTTCGCATGAAACTTTGGTGAATTATTTATAGCTATTGATGTAATCTCCCTATTGATTTTCATAAATTTCAAATATGACATTGAGAAGAAATTGAACTTTATTTGTTTATAGTCTGACAACAGATCTACTAAGTATAGCTGCACAACAGCACAGTGTATTGCACAACAGCAAGAAATCTTTAATTGAATATAAATTCAGTTCATATAACCAATTTCAAGTTCTTTGACTACATTTATTCAGAAACCTATAATATGTCAAATATTTAATTACAATCCAAATTCAGACCTGTATCAAGCTTGAATATTGTGTCCATTTTTGCCCCAACTGTTCAGGGTTGGATCTCTGCGGGCGTATCCAGCTGCGTTCAGCGAAGCAGTTTAAAATTTCATAAGCTGGGATTCAACCATACACTTAAAGTGGTGTGATATCAGTTGACAATAAAATAAAACAGTGGAAATTTCATTTCTAAAATATTTACCAAAGTTCAATGGGAGAAAGGTAAAAATGGCAGGTTTATTTCTTTTGTTACATTAATAAAACATGTTATGACTGTTATGTTTACAGTACTTTGGTTTGATTATTAATCCTTCATCATCAGCGTACGTGATATCGGACAGCTAAGAAAACCAAGTTAACCCATTACATAATGCTTGATTTTAAAAACTTACATACAAATTTAAGACTGACATACGTACCCAGTGTATATGTTACGGGCATTTTCTAAATTTAGACATTTTGTAAAATGACTGAATTTTCAGGCAATTTATAAAATGCCTAACCTTGACAGGCATTATATAAAATGACTAAAATTACCTAGTCATTTTGTAAAATGACTGAAATTTTGAAACAAAATTCAACAAATTGCCTGTTCAGTTTCAGGTAATTAGTAGAAAAAGTATATCATTGAGATGCATATGACAAAAAGTGGACAAAAACACAACATCTTGCAAAGAAAATAACTAATGATTCGGTAGAATTAGTTTATTCTTCAAAAACCACCTGGGAAAGTTTGCATATGTCATATGATATGTTCTTTTTAGTGAAACAACGTTAAGTATATACTCCGTCTGTATTTCAGATAGTAAATTTATGATTATTTTGTTAAAATGGCAGATTGACAAATTGTTCTTTCAAAAACAGTGAAGTGAAACATGAAGCAGAGAAAAGAAGTTTGTTTTTAATTGACTGATTGCTGTTTGTTTGCTTTCAGTAGAAAATATTTCATGCATTTTTAAGACGAGAACAATTTGGTAATAATTCATATGGGTTATTTCTGCAGTGGATTAATCTGGATGAAGGACTGGAATTCCGACTGCCACTTGAAATGAAGGTATTTTGGATAGGGACAGAAAATTCTACCTGCAAAACGGTCAAAGAGTTCTTAACGTGCAGTAAGTGTTGCACTTTACTTACATGCGGCAATATATTTAATGTCCCCATTCAGAAAGAATGAAAATTTATACACCCACATCCAAACAAATTCCCCACTATAGCATGGGTTTCGCCATACAAGGCCGTGTTTGGTTGTGATGCAAAGATATGAGTATCTTCATCTTCACTGCCTCAAGGAAATTCCTGGGTCTTTGTAATCTGATGAATTAATGAGACAGTAGCTAACTGTGGTTATAATCTCGAAAATCGTCCAAGAAAAGACAAATACTGGTGCATTGACAGGATAAGCGTCTCCTGTTATAGATGCATCACCCGTCATGGGCAGACCTGCTTCAGTCCGTTAAAAGCTATAAGCCAAAAGATACTTTGAATCTTTAGGGAAAATTTAAAAAGAAGATATTCATGTTTGTGCTTATTGCGAAACCCAATATTGTCGAACGTTAAATGTTTTATTAGAAAAGGTAATGAAAGAGCTAAATGTGTCATGATCCAGGTTTCTCGAAATGTGATCGGAGTGTTAACAATGTATTTGCAAAAAATCAGGACAAATATTGTGCAACAGTTCTGTCAACCAAACATTTTAAGAAATACAAAATAATTGTCGAGTTCTGTGTTTGTGTCAATTTGGAATAATTCAATAAAACGTATTTTTGATTATTAAAACTCTTAAATTGCAAGCTTTAACTTTCAGTAATTATCATAAATAAAACAGCTCTGTTGTTCAAAGCTTTCAATTGTTTTTTAACATTTCATTCTATAAGATAATTTCAGGCATTTTTTAAAATGCCTTTCAATTTTTCTAGGCATTTTGTAAAATGCCTAGAAAAAATAGTCATTATGTAAAATGCCTGAATCTTGCCAAAAATTTTAAGGCATTTTACAAAATTTTACAGAATTATAGGCCTGGTTGGTATGTTTTGTGTAAGTCCAGTTTTCACCATGAATAATTAGGTATTGCGTTACAAAATCGTGTCTTACTATCCGTTTACCTTTTAAAATATTTGCGTTTTGTTTATAAAATTTCATATTCAGTCGCGTATAAGAGTCTGAATAAATACCTGCACCAATAGTTGAAACTTGTTGATGTCTTAAGGTTTAATATGAGACATCTACCAATCTGCTCATGAAAATACCTTAAGGCCATCATGATTGATGGTGTTATTACACTCCTCCCTCCTAAAATACTTATGTTTACTTGAAGGCCAATGAACAACACTAAATATAAGCAGTTATAAAAAACGAAAGACAATTACACAATGTGCATTTCATATATAGAATATACTAAATCACTTATTGTTATATATAGAACCCCTGTTACAGACACGAATGTTATGTTGAAGATTTGTTTCTATATAGTTTTTTTTTCGAATAAATATTTGAGTATGTTAGAGTTTGGGTCGAAATAGCGTTTTAAACTGAATTACAAAATTGCCACGTAAATGCGCATCCGTTTGCTTTCATTTATAATTTCTCATGGCGAAGTCCAGATGCTTTATAATAAACACTATATTTAAATAAGAAGATTTGGTATGAGTGCCAATGAGACAACTATCCATCCAAGTCACAATGTGTAGATAAGCATATTTTTATGCTTAGCATCGTAATTGTATGTTCTAAACAATTTGCATTTATTTAAGGATCATAAAATAATTCCGAAAACATGAGTGGAATTGATCCAAACAAGATAAAAGATGCACAGAAGCTAGGTGAAATGAATTCGAGAGGACTTAACACAAAAGAAACAGAGAAACGAGGTGTTCTTGCTGAGCAAGGTGAATCAGGTACTAAAATTTTCAAAATCATGTTGATAAGGTAAAAGTTGATATGCAGATAAATGCTCGGTAGGACGACCAAAATGAGAAAAAGTTAAAATATGAGTGATTATCCCTTAAATGAAGAATTGTGTCAAAGTTTCAAACATTCATTTAATATCACTTGTAGCAGTTTGTTAATGTTATCTTTAGATAAACTCAATTTTAAGGGTTACCTAAGGCAACAAACTACTTCAGAACTGAGGAAGAACGACTGAAATCAGCACTTCACCTTCAGAGAATGAATAACCGATACGAAGTGTTTTGTATCAACTTACGAAAGACATGATTATAGGTCTAAAGACACAAGAATTGTCATCTGACATTTAGTTAATTTATTCTGTCCTTTTCCGTATCGCGACGTTAAATTACATGGTGTGGATTTGCATGACATGTGATACTTGCATAGCACGAGACGATTACCTTGTCCATACTACCGACGTTATTTCTTCGGAGTTCATGTTTTTCCCGCAGTTTTATCTCTTGGTTATGTATATTCAAAATGTATTGATAATTTTTGAATCTCGGTGATTAAGACAACATCTAAAACAAGTAATTGGGATTCAAAAGAGGGCTGATAACTTAATGAAAACCAAATGGTGGAAATTATGTGATCAAAGTGACACGATAAAAAATATTTTTCAAAAGCATCCGTTAATTTATTTGTTTGATCTGATGTCAAACAAACTTTTTATCATATTAGAATAAGTGAAATATTATACAAATGTTTTTCTTTATCAGCTCCTTGAAAACAATTTAAACAGTAAGGTTTTCCCCTCTACCCCCGAGCATAGATGACATTAGCCAGATCTAGCACAGCATTGCAGAACATTGCACTAGCTGAAACCAAAATGTACAGGTGCATTTGCTAATGTATGCTTCTTTAAATTTTTTACATGTCTACAGGATTAGAAAAAGTCTTTCTTTTCGAATAATTAGATTGCCGTCTTCACAATTTTTTTACTTCTGTATTACTTCATTTTCAGTTTGTAATGATTCATTATTAAATGTATTTTCACAAGAACAAGATATAAGCCACCAACCCTCTGCTGAAAATAATACAGAAGTACCAACAGGTGAATTCGCAGAAGGAAAGGTATGATCATCTCATTGTGTGCATTTAAGATAAATATGTTCTCTTTGTCGTCCATACATTCATAAAGTCTTTTTTTATTAAAAGGACAAACATGTGAAAAGTCAAACTAAATATAGACGAAACAGAAATTTAATAAAGCTGATTAGATGTTAAAACTATTTGTATTAAAAAGACATAATACGAGGATCTATGATTTTCTAAATATGTTTGATGCCAGTAGATAAGTAAACTGTCATGCTGTTTTGTTGTATTCGCATGTCATCATTTGTCATTTAAAAAGAATGTCAATAAGCATTTTATTTGCCCATTTTACAGGAAAGCACATGCAAAACATATGCTTTATACATATTTGATTGAACGTGTATATCTTCAACACCCTTTCTGTCTGACATATATCTGCATGTGAAGCCATATGTACTTTTACATATTTAAAGTATTTTCAAGCCCCGCTTTCGCGAAACATGTGCAACTTTATGGCACTTAACGAATGTCTAACTGTTTTTAACAACAATATTCATTGTTTTTTTTATTAACCAACAAATATTCCAAAGGATCCGTCCGAAGCCTGTCATCAAAAATTTTAAATCAACGAGCTCAACCGGTAATAGACCAGTATGGCAATACATGTACATACAGCGTGATAACTAGTATTCACTTAATAAACACGACCTATGGATTAACCATGTATCGGTTAATTTTCTAAATGGCTTGTGATCCTTACTGATCAATTTAGAATGGCGGAAATGAATAATTTATGTTTGGCGAAAATGAAAATTTTATTAACTTTTTGAATTAGAGTAAGAGCAATACTACACTCTGTAATCCTATGACAGGCATGGCATACCATAAACAATTGGTGAAATAATTAAATTGACATGATTCCATTAGACTTAGTGACAAATCCTAAATCTACCTTGTTAGAACTCTTGTAGGGTGTGCATATGATTCAATGCAATAAGGTAGTTTGCCGATTGTAAAGTCAAACCGTTTGACCGTTTAACGATATCTATAATATTTATTTTCCTTTCAATTGCAATTTTTATATAATTTCTTTTAAAAGCCTGTAGTGTTACTAACAATAAAGCTTACAGTTAAAATTTTCATTCAGCTAGAATACATATTCTTAGTAATTTTCAAAACAGTGAATGCATTTCTACCTGATTATATAATTTCGTAATATAAAATAAGGAGATATGGTTTGATTGCCAATGAGACAAAGAGACAACAGAGATCAAATGACGTAGATTAAAAGAACTATAGGTCACCTTATGAGCTTCAACAATGAGCAAAACCCGTATCGTATAGTCAGCTTTAAAGGCCCAGACATAACACGTTCTAAATATTTCAAACGGCCTAATATATAGAAAACAATTAACGAAAACAGATATAACAGACCGCAACCATCGAAAACCACTGAATTACAGGCTTCTGAATCGGGAAAGGCACATGTATTATGTGTCGAGGTTTAACATGTTTATGAACGCTCAACTCTCTCTTAACCTTGAACAGTACTGAAGTGTAACAGCACAATATAAGAAAAAACTGTTAAAATCAGTTGAAAATCGCTTGATTCATCAGATCGGCGCGAAACACAAAAACAAAAACAAAAACAAAAAACATAAAGGTAAAAGACACAAAGTATCAATCTAAGAGTACTCGTAGCCACTGAAAACTATTTTGAAACCAATAACAACTTATTATTAAATCGTTTTCTCCCAGACTTGAGAATCAATCGGTACAGATCCAACGAATTTAGTTTTAAAACGTGATAATCAGTCTGAGAAAAGAATGACCTTGTGTAATGGAAAAATATAAGTAAATAATACGACAAGATGTAGAAGCATTAGTGTTAATAAATGTATAGCAAAAAAAAAAATCGTTTATGTTTTAATTTATCAAAAATAAAATCAATGTTAGTACCGATATACACAATATTCAAAGATCTTACTACGGTGTTGAAATTGTATCCTGTAAGAACAAGTTTTCTTCAAATGATCAATAAGTTTACATGGATCGGAATTAACTTTACGTAATTTTTCAGTGATCCTCCTTAATTAGTTACATTCGCTTACACAAAATTACAAGGTTGATTAGACTGCTACAGCACCTGATGAGGATGAACGACCTTGGTCGACAATTTTGACCTAAATTGAGATCCGAAACACTTGATTGGAAAGAAACTGACACATAGTCAATCAAAATATTATGGCAAAATAGAAAAAAATATTTAATATCTATGCCATATAATTAAAAACATGGCACGCTTTATCGAAATAATTGTAAAATTTTGCTTGGATTGGTAATGGACACGTCTTTTATTAGTGTAAACAATATTTTATTATGAATTATACAATTACAATATATATTGACATTCATAAAAGGATTCATAAACAAGCAACAATTAAGTGCTTATGTCAATCGTCTTTTATTAAAGTGCTCCTCCTAAATTAGTTACATTCGCTTACACAAAATTACATGATGAGGATGAACGGCCTTAGTCGACAATTTTGACCTAAATTGAGATCCGAAACACTTGGGAAAGAAACTGACACATCGTCAATCAAAATATTATAGCAAAATGAGAAAATCATATTTAATATCTATGACATATAATTAAAAACATGGCACGCTTTATCGAAATATTTGTAAAATTGTGCTTGGATTTGTAATGGACACGTCTTTTATTAAAACAACATTAACGTAAAAATTAGTATGTGATATCTCGTTTAATTAGAATCCTTTAGGTACAGCCAACCTTCAAAACCAAATCTCTGTTTCTATGAAAGAATTTAGTAAAAATGTTTAGTAATTTACGGTAACGAAATTCCTCACTTAATGATATACCAGTCATTTATAGATTACGATCTTTGAAACCTAAAACGTCACTACAGACACGGGCAAAGCGAACGAATTGTGAAAAAAACATCATCGTAAAAAAAAAAAGGAAAATTAACAAAAGGGAACGAAAATTCGTCTCTTTTGTCTTTATATTTTGTTTTGATTTTCCTGTGAGAAACTGAAATGTCCAGATCTAGAAAGGATAATTATTGCTTGAAATATAAGATTTATCTAAAGAAAGTTGCCTTGGGGAAATTCCCGCGGTATTATTAGAGAATTATTGATTATCTAAATCAAAACTATCATCAAGGTAACGGTAGGTATTATTAGATTAATCAATTAAATTGAATTAAGACGGATCTTTAAAGCATGTCACATAGGGAATTATTAGTTTATATGGCTATAAAGGCAGGAGTTTTTAACAGTAGGAATAGTTAAACTTTATTTCTGGATGATTAAAGGGAGAGATGTTTGCAGTTTATCTAGTTAAGAATGTATTATCACTGTGTATCATCGCCACCGGAATTGGGTACTAACGAAGCGGAGAGAAAGGAGAAAAAAGTAAACAAGCTAAGAAATCCTTTAATTTTAACCATTTCTACCTTGTTGATGAGGTTACCGCTTATGAAACGATTTTCTGATAGATGGTGCTTTAATTCTTTATGCCAACAAGTAGCAAGCATAGACAAAATTTTGTGTTACTTCAAAACTGTGCACTTGGTACCAGAAAATTTCGAGGTAATCGCCCTCCGACGTCCCGCTGGCCAGATATTCAACTGTTTTTCATTCTTTTTCCAGATAAATTTTTAGATTATGATAGTGTGACATCATATTCACTGAAATTTGCTATCAAAAAGATGTTTTTTTCTAAAGAATATTGTTAAAAAACAATCAAGCCTAGTATACGGTAACTTGCTCATGTTTACAGATTTACAGTACGGCAACTTGTTTTCCAACTGTATGGCAACTTGCTAGTTATAAAAAAATATATATGCCGTCCTTTTCAAGAAATAGCGCTATAAGTTCAAATGCCTAATGATGCATTATATTTCTTATATATCCGAGTTTACACCGGTCATTCAGATATGAGATGCAATGTAATGTAGTCAATTTTGATACATTGAACATCAGTTTATCTTTTCTCCCAGTCATAAAATTATGATATTAAAAAAAGATTAAATAAACAAAGCGTTTTACTATTTGAATACGATACATACGACAGCGGATACATGTTCTGACTTTCTTTTACACTTTTGCTGTGTCTTTAAAAAATTGACATACTACTCGTATGATTAAATCACAGCTGTCATTAGCAAAGCAAATTCAAATGATATTTTACATATACATTTTATGTAAACTAGACTATTTGAACTCTATTAACCTTGTAAGAAAATCTTTTTATACACACTTAAGAATGACTCGCCTTACACTTTGATTATCCCATGTATCATCGTAATGTTTACTTGGGGAAAATGTCTTCCCCATGTGCTCTCTTTAGATAGATATTCAGTTTGCAACACAAGGACCAGGTCCCTAAATATAGTTTTAGATTTATAACACAGTTTACATAAATTACTAATTAAATATCTTTTTCTTAAAAAAAAAAACAGTTTGTTTTTATGTTTTGCTGTTCACTGTCCCATGTGAGGGGAGATTTGAGCGCTCACAAGCACGTTAAATCGCGCCACATTCTATATATGCCTGTCCCTAGTCAGGAGCCTTTACTTTAGTAGTTGTTGTAGGTTGCTGTGTGTCATATTTGTTTTTCGTTTATCGTTTTGTCATAAATTAGACCATTATTATTTTCGTTTGTCAAGTCGGGGCCTTTTATAGCTGACTATACTGTATGCGATTTTCTCATTGTTGCTATAATTGCTTAAATCCGCTTAATTTGGACTCTGTTGGATATTCGTCTCATTGACAATCATACCACATCTTCTTATTTCATAAGTATTATTGACTTATTTTTAAAGGCATCTACAACCAGTATATATATATGCTAGTTTAAAGAACATTTCTAATAAAACAAAAATTCTTCTTAAGTAGAAAAAAGGTACATACTCGCAACTTGTACTGTTTGAAATTTTTGAAAATAACATGCTATAAAACATCATTTTGAGAAAGTATTGATATCACAGAATGCTTTACAAGAGATGCAAAGCCGGCCGCGGCTACGGGATAGACTATTTATATAAAGCCTTATAATAGAGAAGACAGAAGACCTGAATACGCATATCTTGTATACAGAACAATAGTAATGATATTTTAAGATTAATATATTGCATACTTTTATACACTAGAGCTAGAAGTTATAATGTACCTTTTAAGTTAAAGAAATATAGTCACATAAAATCTGATAATGGCAGGTGAAAATCAGTTTAGATCCTGATGGTGTATTTTTGTGAATTTTTTTTAAAAATCCACGAATTAGTTGTTGTTGTTGTTGTTGTTGTTGTGTTGTTGTTGTTGTTGTTGTTTTAACACCACTTTTAAGCGCCACTTTTGGACTATTTCGTGGCGGTCAGTTTTTCATGGTGAAGGAAGCCGGAGTGCCCGGAGAAAACAACCGACCTTCGATAGGAAAACTGACAGTCCTAGTCAATTAAGATTGGAGTCGAGTGCACCCGCGCGAGCGGGGTTCGAACTCGCAACCTCAGTGTTGACTGGTTAGTGATTACAGTAGTAGACCACTTAGCCACCGAGCCCCCCACCCCCCCCACCCCCGAGTTAGTAAAGATTGATTTGATATGGCGTTAATTTAGACATCTGCCCTTCGATACAGTTTGGTTAAAATACTAAAATCGATAAATTCTTATCGTGAAAGAAAGTCGAGTACAGAAGTTATAATGTGTCTTTTAAGTTAAAGAAATATAGTCACATAAAATCTGATAATGGCAGGTGAAAATCAGTTTAGATCCTGATGGTGTATTCTTGTGATTTTTTTTTTTAAATCCACGAATTAGTAAAGATTGATTTGATATGGCGTTAATTTGGATATCTGCACTTCGATACAGTTTGGTTAAAATACTGAAATCGATAAATTCTTATCGTGAAAGAAAAAAATGTAAATATGATGTCACACTATCATAATCTAAAACTTTGTCTGGAAAAAGAATGAAAAACAGTTGAATATCTGGCCAGCAGGACGTCAGAGAGCGATTGACTTCGAAATTTTCTGGCACCAAGTGCACGGTTTTGGAGTAAACATAAAATCTTGTCTTTTTTTGCTACTTGTTGGCATAAAAAAATAAAGCACTATCAACCAGAAAATCGTTTCATAAACGGGAACCTCATCAACATAGTAGAAATGGTTTGAATTAAAGGATTTCTTACCTTGTTTATTTTTTTTTCTCCCTTTTCTCCGCTTCGTTGGTACCCAATTTCCGGTGGCGATGATACACAGTGATAATGCATTAACTTGAAAATCTACTTTGTATGACTTCTAATTTGGATTTCTCCTTTCAGAGTGAAAAAAGCTTATTAGAAGAACTCATTACATCTGAAACCGAGAAAGGTGCAACTGCAGAGAAAACTGAAGAACATAAACCTAATGAAGTAGATACAGAAAATATAGAGGCTAATAATATTAAAGAACAGGCGTCTGGATCAGAATTGCTAACAGTAGATAAAACTTTATGTGATGATGGTAAGTGACTAGCAAAATTTACTTTTTAAGTACCGTATGAAGTTTTAAAAATCAAGAATAAAGCAAATATTCATTGTGGGGATATAAAAAAAAAAACCACGTAGAAACGATATCAGGCTTATAATTTGGTACGCTAGACGCGCGTTTCATATTCCGTAGGTTCATTAGTGGCCATCGAATTAAAACAGATAAAATTTGTCCATCGCTTGGATGATCGAGTACTTTAGTGCACATTTCATACTCGGATGCTCGATTTATTATGTTTTTCCTTTCTACTCAGCTATATGTACGCCTGATGTATATCGTCTAATTTTTCTCTTAATGGTTTCATGAAAATTGTTAAACGTGAACATGCCTCAATTACTCCCTCCTTTGTGAATCTCCAGACTAATCAAAAATGCTTGACGAGTTTGATTTGAACAAGACTAAGACAGTTCATATTCTGACAAGATTCTTCGTCAGTGGTGGTGTCATATAACCACCGCGACTACCACTTATTGCAAGGCCTCTGTTTGCAGTACCCTTGACATCCGTTCCGCCCGAAATAATTTTCTCATCTGTTGGACTCTTTGTAATCACTGGAGAAGACGTTACTAAGTTGTAAAACTTGTGTTTGATCCATTTGTCATTTTGAACAATAAAATATGTTTAAACTAATCACCTATCTACGTGTTAAACATATAAATAGGAGACTCAATATTCTTCCTGAATAAGAACAAAAATAAATCTCCTGTGATTAAAATTGAGAATGGAAACGGGGAATGTGTCAAAGAGACAAGCCAACCAAAGAGCAGAAAACAGCCCATGGCCACCAATGGGTCTTCAACACAACGAGAAAATCCCGCACCCGTAGGCGGGCTTCAGCTCGCCCTTAAACAAAAATGTGTACTAGTTCAGCGAAAATGGACGTCACACTAAACTCCGTAACATATAAATGAACCAAAATTAAAAAAAACCATACAAGACTAACAAAGGCCAGAGGCTCCTGACTTGGGACATGCGCAAAAATGCTGCGGGGTTAAACATGTTTTGTGAGATCTCAACCCTCCCCTATACCGGTACCTCTAGCCAATGTAGAATAATCAAACACACAGTAATACGCACAGTAAAACTCAGTTGAAAAGAAGTCCGAGTCCAATGTCAGAATAGGTAACAGAAGAAACTAATCAAAATGACAATAATACATAAATTAACAAAGGACTACTAGCAGTTACTGACATGCCAGCTCCAGACCTCAATTAAACTGATTGAAAGATTATGTCTTCATCAGATGAAAATCAAGCACAATTCCTCCGGTTAGGGGTTTAGTATCATACCATCATAAAATATACGAGAAGAACATAACCCGTTTCATGCCAACAACTGGTTTTAGAATAAATGTATTTGTTTCCGATGCAAAGACCCTATGAGTGAATCAATATTAATTCCAAAAAAATGCCATCTTTAATGACCTGACAACAGTATCGTAACTATATCCTTTCTGAATAAGTCTGTTTAAAGGTTTGGTTAGCTTTTGAGGTGACTGACGACATTTTTGTACTTAGTATAGAATATTACCATAAAAGATACCTTAACGTATAAGATATCTGCAAGTTGATTTATATTTACGAATGATTTCCTTGTACCGATGATAAAATTTAGTAAATGTTTTGACAAGTTTGTGATATCGAAAACCCTGGTGAAATAATTTTTCAGTAAAACAGACATTTCTTTTGTTAAAATCAAAAAGATGTTGCATACACGAGTGAATCGAACAAGTTGAGATATATAAACACCATAAGATGGTGACAAGGGAACGTCACCATCTAAAAATGGATAATTAAAAATAGGAAATGAAAAATCATCTCTTTTATCGTAAATTTTGGTATTAAGCTTCCCTTTAAAGATATAGTTATCAAGATCCAGGAAAGGAAAGGACAGTGTTCATTGTTAGTATTAAGTCAGTTCAGCAGGATAAATATCTGTATTGTACATACTGAAGTCGTCATTAATGAGAGCCAATTATCATCAAAATATCTAAAAGTGTTATTAAATTTTTGTATCAGATGTTGTTTCGATGGGTCTTTCATGATTTTAGTTATAAACTGTAACTCGCAACAATACAGAAACAGGTCTGCAATAAGTGGTGCACAGTTAGTCCCCATTGGAATTCCGATAACTTGACGATGAATGGAATCTTCATAGCGAACACAAATTTTATCTAGTAAAAATTCAAGTGCAGTTGTCGTATCAAAGAAGGTCCAATTGACATAGTTCTGTTGTTTGTTGTTACTAAAAAATGGCCTAAAAGAGTTTGAACATATATATTCGCATTCGGACTTTTTAAATGCCCATTTAAGTAGGTGTGTGCTTTTTTTCTAAACGAGATTATGAGGCAAAGTGGTATATAAGGTAGAAAAATCAAAACTTTGAAGATTCGAAATCACCAATATGAGCATGCAATTTATCAAGTACTTCCAACGAATTTTTGACACTCCAAAAATAATTAATTCCACTATTTTTAATGCCTTATTTGAACAATTTACTACCAGGTTTTTGATTGTACCAAATGTACTAGTAAGTAGAATAGACAGTTTAGTAGTGAAACAATGGATGGAAGACGAAATAAATCTTTATTTGTAATGTGTTTTGTGCAGCTTTGGAAGCCAGTACATAGTTGAAACTTTGATTGTATTCGGTTCTTCTTGTAAAGAGGTAGCTAAAAGTGTATGTTTGTTTCAGATGTCATTTTCCGAAAATGGAGTCAGTTGGAATGTTGGTGAATTCGTGATTTCCTTTTACAGAACCTCAATGTAAAATTTACGTCGAACAATAATGATAATATTGGCAGCCTTATCAGCCGGGATAAAAACAAATTCCTTGGCGAGTTCTTTAAGGTTCTTTTTGATACGAGAAATAGGGCTATTAGGTTGTTGTTAGGAGTAACATATTCTTTAAAATGTTTAATACGAATACCAACTATGTTCATTACTGAATTAAAAAAAGAATCTGAAGATTTCTTGTCAGCTTTTTCTCGTCTTATCCATTTCGTGCAGTAAGAACGGAGTGAGTCGTGGATGATGTTACAACACTCATTCCAATTAATAATTTCCAATATATTATCATTGAGACCGAGAGGATAGACTGTCTGTAGTTTTTTTTTATCCAATTTAATTCAATTATTTCCGTGATCGTACAAATTTTGAATGAGATTCCCAAGGCTGCTTATTTACCACTTCTAAAGGTTGAACTGTTAAATATTTAATAGGATGATTGTGCTTCTTAAGGTGTTGATAACTGATAGTTTTAAATCTATGGGGTCTTCTAAAACGATAAGAGTGTTCTTGCGTACGTTTAGATAAATAGCGTCCGGTTTCAACTACGTACTGAATACCGCATCCCGGTTTGTTTCATGTGAGTAAATTGATAATACTATTAGTTTTTCAATTTGTATCAGTTTCAAAATTTAAGGAAAATGTGAGACCATTAAACTTGGACCTTACCGTATTGTTGGTAGAAAGACGGGGATATGTAAGTCATTTTTTGGCATGACACTTATCGATAGAAAGGGTAACCACGATTTTTATTATCAAAAATGTTAGCGTTTGTAGTATGTTAATAAACGATTTTGAAGATTGAGACGTGTAGATACCCTTTGAACGAGTTTGGTATTTAGTATTTTTCCATTTCTGAGTTTAATTTTGTAATCCGTATTTACAATTGAAAGGAGCAAAGACAGGCGTCCAGAATATGAACCAGCACACAGAAATTTGCCTCTTTCGGCTGATCATTAGATACTTTTGGTGTGCGATCGGTGTTTGTACAACGATTAACTTTTGTAAATACCTTTGATTGTTAGTATAATAAATAAACTCATCATAGATACCAGGCTTCAAATTTTGCACGCCAGACGCGCGTTCCGTCTACAAAAGACTCATCAGTGACGCTCGAATTAAAAAATTAAAAGGCCAATTCAAGTACGAAGTTGAAGAGCATTCAGGACCAAATTCCGAAAAGTTTTGCTAAATACAGCTAAGGTAGTCTATTCCGGCGTAAGAAAATCCTTTTTTCAAAATCTTATTTGTGTTACTCAATGTTAAGTAATCAAATGATCTAGGGACAATAAAAGTGGCAACTCAATAACAAGAAAAGTTTACACTTTAAACTTTAATTACCGATAGTATACGAGTATTTGAACAGAATATTGGAGTGTTCATTCCACCAAAAATTTACATCCCTAATATTGAATATCAAAAATATATAAAATTTCAATTGAAAATAAAGTTTTTAAAAAGTTAGAAATACTGTCTGTCATTATCGAGAAACAACCTCCAACCTACCTAAAATTCCGGTCATTAAACCATGATAGTTTTAATAGAAAAGAATTGAAGAACAACACTGAAATGAAAATAAGTTTTTCAGTTGAGATCAGGCATTATCACAAGATTAAAGACTTTAAATTCAGGACCAGAACCATCTTTTTAGTCGAATCAATTGATTTTTTTCTTTCACTTCGCCAACAGTTGTGTTCTACCTGCACGTTGTACATAGCATTTAAACATTATTTAGTGTTATAAACCTCTCGCTCAAAATTCAATTTCCATCTTCCCGTGGTGAGCAGGTGGAAGTCTCTGTCTGGTGAACAAAAGGAGTATATAACACAAGAACATAAGTATTAAGGATCTAGTTACTCTTCCGGGACACATGAGATCGGCCTCTGCTTTTTTTTTGTTAAGCTCATGTTGCTAAGTCTATAGTATTCTTATAATAATAATAATAATAATAATAATAATAATAATAATAATAATAATAATAATGACTTTATTTAAAGAGGGTGATTCAATAAGCATTCACTAATCTACCTTGAGGCCCTCACAAAAAACATACAGAACAAATATTACAGATATTACAATTTTTGAACATATAATTAAATTTTCATGCTAGATGATTGTCTGTAGTACAAGAAAAACAAAATAATACATTATACACAAACATTAAAAAGACATGCTAGAGTTAGAGAGTTGTTACATATCATTTATAGTTAAAAAATCTACACATTTTCTTTTAAAAGTACCAAGATTTTCACATAGTTTTATTTCATTTGGTAGTTTCTATGTTTTGTTTTGTGGACAGTTTTTTGTCTTTTTGTCGTGTTAAGTTTTTTTTTGGTTATGGCGTTGTCAGTTTGTTTTTGACTTATGAATTTTAATATCCCTTTGGTATCTGTCGCCTCTCTAATAATATTTTAATTAAAGCATAGATATTTTACCAGTAATTTACCTGAACATAGATCGTAACTTAATTTTTTATGTCCAAAACCAAACATTTAACCATTATTATGACGTCAGCCTTTATATGATATATCACTAAAAGTTTATATTTTGCGCAGCCAAATTATCAATGAGTGTTTGGTTTTTCAAGGCGGAATTTAAAGTTCCAATTGAAAGAACTCTACAGAGAACAATAGCCATTGTATTTATTCAATGAGACATTACACATATGAAAAATTAAATGGCAAGGTAATTCTTACTGATTCCAGGGAAAGGTTTTTCCTTCGCAAAAATCTAAAAAATAAACATGATAAGGAAACCTCTTCAAATGTCAAATAAACTGTGATACCAAATACCCGTCATAAAACTATCAATTTAAAATACATTTCTAATGGAAAATACGATTGTTTTATTGTAGTCATTACTTGTGTTGAACTGTGCCAATCATGTCTTAGGGATGACGAAGAAGAGGCTGCTGACCTGTGGTGTAATGACTGTAGTGAAGCTGTTTGTCGAAGTTGCGGTAAAGCTCACAGACGATTCGCAGTTGCTCATGATGTGATATCGATTAAAGATGCTACCGCTTGTAGAAAACATTTACCCAAAAGCTGTTCTAAACATGAGATTAAAAAGATTATTCTGTTTTGCGTAGGACATGATAAATTAATTTGTCATGAATGTTTGTCAGAGAGTCATAGAAGTTGCGATAAGATATTGGAGATAGAAAAGGCTGCTGACGGCATAAAAAACAGTGCTGCAATTACTGACTTAAAAGAAAGAATGAGAAATTTTGCTAGTATTCTTGAAAAGACACAAACCGAAAATAAGCAGACAATATCTAAAGTCAGCAAAGAAAAAGAGAGCGCGTACGACCATATACAAGAATTATTCCAGTGCTTTAAAAATCACTTATTAACAATTCAAAATAATCTCAACAAAAACTACGAAAAAATAGTTAAACAAAATGAAGAAAATAGTGAACAGCTAAAATACTTAAGACAAAATCTGCAAGAAAACATAGACTGGATGTGTATGTTAGAACGTAGTTCTTCTGAAAGAAATATATTCCATGCAGTAAAACACCTTGATGCCATACAAATAGTAAGTGAGAAGCAAATCGTTGAAATTAAAAAAGACATGACAACGTACCCGTTGGATGTTTTACCCTCTGAAAGTATGAGAAATATAGATAAACTTTTCGAAGAATTGATGGGGAAATCAAAACGCCTTAGTTTGCCTAAACAAACCGCCATTTTAGCTTCAGATTGCTTAAAATCACAAATAAAAGTCGAAAGAGAGATCCCGCCTCAAATGGAAAAACTATATAGGCCTCCACCGTATCAGGACCTCATAGCAGGCGATAACTCAACATTTGGAGCGTTGTGTTTCACTGAAGACGGTCGTATCATTGTTGAGGAATTAAAAGATTTTCCCCGTGAAAAACGGTATTGATTAAAACAAACAATCCACTGTCTTCGAATATTTGATTTGCAAACTAGGCAGTCTAAACAGATTACTCTTTCAGAAAAATACGATAAGTTCAACGTGCGCATAGGCTCCAATTGCATGTATAACGCAACGCTTGCCCTACTGGCGTCAAACAGTGAAAAGACAGGGATCATGGTTATTGACATAAATCTTCAAAGACATTGCAGGACGATTTACCTGCAGAGTTCTGAGCGTATCGGTAATATCGAACATATAAAATGGGTGTCGTCTAAAAAAGGGAAAGTATTGCTTTTTGCAGAGACTAATAAGGGTTTGTGGTTAATGTTTATTGATTTTAATGGTGCGATTTTATCAGCATTTAGTCTTTCAAACTCAGTTGTTGATGTTGATTATGATGGTTCAAAAAGATTTTTTCACACAGACCAGAAAGTCAATGACATTTTTGTCATTTCAATAGACAAAAACATTACATCGAAGTGTTATTCAAGTCTTGATTTGAGAGAAGGATGTAGCATATTGCATACAGTCGACGATGAGTTACTACTTCTCGAAACACGCTCAAATACAATTTATAAACTAAACCTTAAATATCACAGTCGGTCGATTTTGATCAACCAAAATATTACAAATCCAACGCATTTTAATATATGCCATAAGTTAAAAACAATTGCAGTAACTATGGACGTGGAATGCGTGTAAGGATTTTTCCCTTGTGATACTTCTGCAATCTTGACGACTAATTTGCCTTTGAAATGTAGGCATGGAAAAACAAAATTTTCACAATTGTTTGTAAAGTTGCTAAAAGTGTATATATAAAAAGGAAATTGTAATAAAATATGTAAATAGGCATGTAAAAATCATACTGTGTTTTACATAGTTGTTGTTTATTTTTTTTTTAAATATAAGATGGATTTACAGGAGAGGAAAACATTGCATAAAATTCTTGAAAATAACCAATAGATCCAAGAAAGAACGCATTTTTTGCTGCTCTTAATCTCGATTGTGTCTGGCTACCCTTCATAAATATGAAGTGTTCACCATTTACAGTATCAAGACATCTGCTACGTTGCAAATTGAAACTTGAAAATCTTCTAGAAGTTCAATACCTCGTTTTTCAACATAAGGTTAATACTAATTTTTAATTTTTAATAAAACAATAAACAGACAATCATAAAGCATTACCAAGTTCTTGAAGAAAACGTATTTTTTTGTCTTTGCAAACGATAGGCCTTGAACTTACCTGTTTGTTATGTAAGCAACATGTTGGATTCACACTAAAACTGGTCTCATGCATGTTTGCCTAAACAAAAAGTGCCAATTTTTAAATGTTTCACCTCCTTATTTATCAGATATGAATTGTTATTTGAAATCAAGGTAATGATTATATTCTTTCCATCTTTAAAAAAAACTTAAACTGTATTTTTCTATAGGTTTAGCACTAAATTATTATATTCAAAAGCATGCTGGTTTTATCTAAGCATATAATGCAAACTCTTTTTTTCAAATCAAGGTTTAATTTAGGTCACATAATTTTTACAAAAATCAATTATCATTGAAAATATGGTCAATGTCAGATTAACCCTGCAATGGACATGTGCATCTTATAAACAATCATTCTATACATCAGGCATAATTTATCTAATGCTTACAGTATCTGAGAAATGGACTTAACAAATCAAATTAATCAATGCGCCATCAAAAAATTGTCAAGGCAAGATTGATCCAGCCAGACGGGTTTTCTTCACTTTACAATCACTCCATACACCAAGTATAGTTCATCTATTGCTTATGGTATTTGAGAAAAAGGCATTACCACTAACACAACAAAAACGTTGTACAACTATGGTAATTAGATCATGGTCAGATGAACCTTGTCAAATGAACATGTATACTTTAGAATCATTCTATACAGCAAATATAGTTGGCCTATGGCTGATAGTATATGAAAAAGGGGACATACCTCTAAAAACTTAACAGTGATCGAGGAACCATGAATATTAGATCAAGGTCAGATAAGTCCGACTAAACAGACATGAACACCTAACATCCATTCCATTTACCAAAATAAATCGTAGGTGTTGTGGTATGATTGCCAATGATACAACTATCCACCAGGGTCCAAATGAATTGCATATACGCAAATAAAGGTCCCCGTACGGCCTTTAACAATGAGCAGAACCCATACGACAAAGTAAGCTGAAAAAAGGCCCCAACATGCCGTAAAACAATTGAAACAAATATAACATACAACAAACAACGACAACAACTGAATTACAGGCTCATTATGTGACAAACATAGAAAATAAAGAAAACGTAGTTTACTCATGTTCAAATTTCATAATTCGATTAAAAAGACAAATCAAGGTAATAAACAGAAAGTGTGTGAATCGTATGAACTCCAAAAGGAGCGAGACCTGGCATTGTTGTCTTAAAATTTGGAGTACGATTATCATACTCAGACTCAGAATTCAACCAATCAAACTGCTGGATTTTGCGTCCGAGGGCCCGGGTGTGTCGACAAAAAAAGCGTCTCATGGGAAGTTGACAATTTTAAAGTTGAAATCATCACGTTTGTCAAAGATTCTAGTTTGATAGATGGGTGGATGGCTGTTTAACTGTCAATGGCATATTAAATTAAGTCGACAGTAGTCTACCGATGTTTGAATTTTGTAAATCGATTCAGCAGAGACAAACCAAAGCAAAACTACAGCCAACTCAAATGGTATCTGAAGATCTAAGATCGCGAAAACCTGTCACTAATGAGTTGAGACACCGATACTTCTTATCGGTAAGAATATTTGTGATAGTGACCATACAGTGGTGTCGATTTCAGTCGTACTTCCTCATAACTCTGTTTACACAAGATTTGAAGTAAAGTATACACAAATAGTTGACTCCGTCGCTAGATTAACACCCCTCTATCTCCTATTCTGCAACTTTCGTTTCATGCGAGACAAAACGTAAAATAATAAAAATCCCGAACTCAAAGGAAAATTCAAAACGAAAAGTCCCTTATCGAATGGCAAAATTAAAAGCTCAAACACATCAAACGAATGGAAAACAACTGTCATATTCATGACTTGGTACAGGCATTTCCTTATGTAGAAAATGGTGGATTAAACGACGAAAAAAGGCTAACACATTCAAAGATAATACATACAATCATTGAGTAATTTATGTTTGTAAATATTGCTTCAAATAAAGTTACTTCTCGTAGTGTTGCTCATGACACAAAAAACCGTGTTTTTAATATCAAAACTCTTCATTTTACGCAAGACGATATTTCAAAATACAAAGAAAATTTAGAAGTATTTTGAACAAACTTCAATCAGTATGAGTAAGCCAAATATTTACAGAGCTGGGTCTGAGTAGATTTTAAAACCACTTTAATCATGTATCGTGAAAATCATGCTCGGCCCAAAAACGGAATTCCCCTCAACTGATAAGAGGGTATCCAATTCCAGTAATATATATGCAGGACTCGGAACCGCGATGGTATTATGCTGAAGTGCGATGGTCTGCCTGTGACATTGAGTAAAAAGCAAAATGTACATTGGCTGAATGAAATATCATCATTAAGATTTGACCAAAGTAGCTGCTAGCCTCGCATTTGGAAGATTGTTTCATTTCTGTTCAGGTTAAACCAAAGATTTTTTTTAAATCTAATTTTACAGTTGCCAATTCTCCGATTAGCACGTAGCAGTATGGAGTCAGAAAATAGATTGGATGGTTCAGATAAGCATAATGGGTTTGAGTGGAAGAAAATGTCTTTTTATAGGGTGATCAAGGGAGATAAAAAAAAAAGGTCCAGCGTATGTGTCTATATATAGTACTAAGCAGGGTCCATCTCATTTAGATAAAGATATTATTATTATTATTATTATTATTATTTTATAAAATATAATTTGTTCACGTTATGACAAACTTAGAAATTTCTCCCAACAATCATTCGTCCATTTATCTGATGACTGAACAGTTTCCAAGAAGTAAAATTTAGCCAATTACATTTATGCTTGACTTATAGCGTGACGTGTTACGTATTACACCAAAGACTTAAAATTAGCTGCTTCTCCGCTGAGGAGGAGAAATTTGGAAGTACACGTAGGGACCAGTCAAGTTTATTTCGACCAAACTTGTTGTAGAAGATTAACACTGTAACCACAGTAAAATTATGGTAGAGTGCCAGGGTTCTTACAAAGCAGGATTTATCTCGGAAATAAAACAACATCATATCAACTTGATATAGCAAAAACATTGCTAATAATTAATTTTATCATGAAATTGTCCACACGAAATCACGTGACGCATACTTGAAGATTAGTCAAAATTTATATCTAAATCAATATATTTTATCTATTGTGCAAAAAGTTTGCAGCATACTTGCGAACACTGGTTAGCACATTTGCTGACCAAGTTCATATTTCAGCTGCTTGGCTCCACATGATTTGCTGACTGAAATGGTTTAACATGTTTTTGTAACCTCCACCTGTACTGCTCAAAACTGTTCGGGACTTGAATCGTTCGTTACAATTTATTTTTTCATTTCTTTCTTTCTTTGCCTTTGAATCCATGTTGTATTTTTCAAATTAACAAATGTATTTGAAAACGGCACAATATTCAAGCGGCATGCCAAACAATCGCACTTCAGCGAAAGGACCATCGAACATCTGCGTAGACCATCGCACTTCAGCGTGACCATCGCACTTCAGCGTCCCAATTGCACCTCCGAGTCCTACATATATGTCAAAATAATGGTTATCTTCACTTGTAATAATACAACAATCAAACAATTCTAAATGGGTTTCACGGATCATATGTATTAATAAATTTATCTTATATAAAACAAACTTAAGATTTATCTTTTTATGTATGTTTTGATTTTGATTTTGTATTTTGTTCTTTTTGTTGTTATTTTGATTAATGTTTATTACTTTATTCTGAGAAAAGAAAGGCAGGTAAAAAACATACAAAAAATATTTTTGTCTGACATATATTATCTATTTAATTCACAGTTTTACCTGCAAAATGTGCTTGAGGTCTTCATTAAAACTCCGTGGTGTCCATTACATCCACTACAACATAAAGACCTAAATATGAAACTACTGTGTGACTTCGAGCCTTTTTTCAAAAGAGGCATTTTTTGAACGACCAACAATTTCACCTGAAAATCGATGAGGAACTGGTCATTGAATATGTAAAATGTATTATGTATTATGGTTTGCAATAAAGCGTGTTATTTAAAATCTACAGTTTAAAAAAGTAATTTGATTTGCTATTTCGTTGTGATATCATATTTGTATTTATAAGGAATTGCCCTTTGATTGAAACTTTATAACATATGTATCAGATTGTTAACTACAATAGTTTTCCCATAGGCGATAGTTGCACAATTTTACGAGATACAGACGTTAGAATGTTTATTTTTAGAACAAAATCGTCTTTGGTAACAAAAAAAAATTAAAAAAAATAGGCTTATAATTTTAGGCCAGCAATTATAGGTTGTCGTTGCTTTTCTGAATGCACACAATGACCAATCAGGATAAGCCATATACTGTAGCATGTCATTTTTATAGCCGCGCTCTTATTATCTAATGGTTTTATTGTTACAATGTTCATATGGTATCCAAGTGTATCTATCATCAAGCAATTGATTGTTCATTCGATGTACACATGCACAAAAGTTGCCACTTAGAACGTTTTCTTTTAACTCTCTGACGTAATCAAAGTCTTAAATGCGGTACTTTCCAAAAGATCCAAACATAAATATATAAAAATAAGGAGATGTGGTATGATTGCCAATGAGACAACTATCCACCAATTTGAAAGTTAAAGTATATTTACATAGAAATCTATACTCTAA